TTATTGGAACGTTTATTTGATAGCATACAATATTTTGATTATTTTCATAGCTAAAATATATTACATTAAAAGAAACATAGAGAGGTTTACAGTATTTATAATTTTAGAACACTAACCGTGGATTTCTGAGACTAAAAGAAAATCCCCGCTTAAAACATATTGTCATCTTTGTTATACAGAGATTTTGGTCGCAGATACTAACGATAAGTAAATATTTTTTTTAATATTCTGTATTTCCAATTACAATAAAATACCATGTTAAGCTTATGATCTTAAATTAATAAAGTAAATATAGTCTATTATAATGAAACATATTGAAAACTGTCTATAAATATAAACAAGTATATGTTTTATAGATAATAACTGAATTATATTCAGGAAGTATATAGGTGCTGGTTGCAGGACAGCGGGTGTCGCCGTGTGATGACCACGCATACATTGCACGTCACTTGATAACCTTTAAGGCAATGTCACACTAGAGTGCATTCACATTCCGTAAATGACAAGTAATAAATCCTTATTATTAGTTTTTATAGGTGAAAAACAATAAGAACACTAAGGTAGAGAATAATGTAAACCTACTATTAAGATTACTCAATTTATAAATCCCAAGATAAAATATATTTTGGATCTTGTTCCAGATCTTACCAATATTACAAACGCTAATTTTTGGATGTATGGATAGGTGAATGTTAGAAGATATCGTCAGAACGACTGCATGGATTTCGCTGAATTTCGGGCTAGATGTACAACATAGTTTGGAAGAACACATAGGCTGCCACTTAAGTGATTTTTTTAATTCCGCGCGAACAGAGTCACGGGTGACAGCTAGCTTTGAATGTAACCATTGTCTCATTTATAGCCGTTACAGTGTGTACTTAGCCTTACATACATACATCTACATCCGGCACGGCATTACGTGCATTGTGCCGCCAGCTGGAGGTCATTCTGTATGCGGCAGCCGGACCGTACTCTATGCAAAGTATAGCCTGCCACTGTACCAATGTACCAATGTGACACTGCACTTACAAAGCCTATGTAAAATTTGTTATTGCATTCAGTTTTTTTTCTTAATCTCAAACAATAATAATTTAAATTATTCAAACTTTCGTGAGACATTATAATAAACTTACATAAAAACGGCTAAACACTCTCGTATATTCGTCCGGTGGCGGCACCGACTATTTTCGAGGCCATCGGGGGCCCTTCATCAGGGTGAGTGGGACTGGTATTATTTCGTAGACACGGCCCGTCGCTCACTGACGAATATACGTGAGCCGTTTTTAGGAATAACCGTAACGAACTTAAAAAATGACACTATTGCAACACTGTTCTTGAAACTATGAGTTGTTTTGATATTTTAATTAATGTTACCTGATTTATAAAACACGGTAAAACAATTTGAGGAAATGCATTAAAGTTATACAAACATGTTATATTAAAAGAACCCCAAAAACTCATAAATTTGTAGATTCTGACCGTGATAATGTCGTGTTTCAGTAATTCAAGTAACGCACCGTAAAATTTTGTACAACTGAAAAATAACATGCTTGTGATAAACATCTAAATTAGTGTAGTATAGCGTACTGTTAATATATTTATTATATATGTATCAAATAAGACATATTATTAAACTTTTTCGTATTGTTAGGAAGAAAATCCGACACTGTGCCGGTGTACTGGCATAATACTAGCCTTACTAAAATGTCGAAGTTTAGTTCCTCTCACTAATTATTCTGAACGAAGGCGCGTCATTCCCGCCAAGGGATTCTAGCTAATAATGTCTAAAAGTACTTACCATAGTAAATCTAACAAGGCCGTGAAAACTGCCGGCATACAATTTTTTGGATGATCCAGACTTTGCTATTAATAAAAAACTGCTTAGTGGTACATAACAATGATAATGTTGCATTATACGTTTGAATCGGCCATTGTGACTGACCTCCCCCGCCCTTACCACGCTTCCTGCCCCGCACGCCGTACAGACCATTAGGTGCCGGTTTGGCAGGAAGCCCTCTGTCTCCGAGCCCCAGTTATTTACCGTTGATCACGATCTGTCCACAGACTGGACGCACATAAAGCATTCCGTTACGTGTTGCGATATATCAAACCACCCTTTGTATAATCTATCATCACGTCCCAACATACCAACTTGTTCCTGTTCATTCTAGCAAATAAAAGAACTTAAATTACTCAATAAGATAAATACATTGATTAATGATCCACTATTTAAGTTTACCAATGTTGGTTAAGACAAGAAATACCAGCATTTATAATGTCGATAAACAAAACAACATCACACAAAACTTGGCTATCGCATATTTTGTGGACTGAAATAATGTTGTCTGATTTTCGTATGCCTGAAACTCTTTGGTTATAATCTCAAGTACATTTAAATACAAGCGTATCAATTACTTCATCCTATCCGGTGCAGGAGTACGCGTTAGAATGAATTGCAAGACTCCGCGGACAGACAACAAAACGATGCAATTAATTGAAACGGTCCCGATGTTTGTTCCCAGTAAACGACTGTACTGCAGCTCGCTGCGGTTATTACTCGACTTGACGACTGCACTTTGTGAACTGCTATTCCAATTCTAGATTGTGTATTATAAACTGACTTGAAGCTATTACGATAGCTTATATTATAGAAGTGTCTAGATAACTCGATAGAACGTTACAATTATATAGAATGTCTTTGAGTTAATAATACAATGTTGTTACAATATACCTACGTTAAGTCTGATTGCATCTGATTAATTCATCTGAAATTGTTGGTTTATATTTAGTTTGTTCGTTTCTACGTATACTATTAGCCTTCGTTATGCCAAATGATTTAAACGTACTCAGTTTTAGTTTACAAAAAAATTGTACTCGACAAATGGTGTGCGAATATCGTTCGAATCTTACATCAATAAATTCGAAAAATAACAAATAATTTCATTCTAAATTCGAATAATCTGTTCGAAATTTTTCGAATTATTCGATTTTTTTTTCGAATTATTCGTGAGTTAGAATTATTCATACAGCCCTATAGGTGGTACTAGTCGAAAAAGACGTTATCTATTCTTGGAATATCTTATTGTGCTTCATATTACTTTCCACGAAATGATCTCACAAGGTTTCAGTCGAGTTTATTCAAGTGAAATAAAAAAATCTGTCATCTTTAATAAGTCTGTTATACGAACAATAAGAAATTATTATTAACATTTTATTATTAAAATCAAAAAAATGAATAAATCAACCATACAATAAAACTTTAAAAGTAATGTTAGTTATTAATTTTAAACCAACATTTTTGTGTAATAAACTAAATAAGAATTTATATAAACTAAAGTAAAGATTAAATAAAGATGGGTTTGTTTAAAACTGTAAATTAGACAGTAAGAGTAATCTCTTTAGAAGAGAGGATAAGTTGTGCAACAACATTGAAGTAGGCAATATCCCTTTAATTGGACTTAACATTGTAACGAATGGGTCCCGTGTATCTCGTAACGCGGAAAGGGAGACAGAACTGGGTAATAAAATCCACACTATCATTATTATCATAGCCGTTTACAATGGTGGGGGCTGTCCCAGTGCCCCAGATTAAGAATGATATACTGAATACCAACATACGATATTTAAAAATATTGTTAGAGTACTTGAGTCTTTAAAACAGCTTTATTATGCAATATAAAATTTACTCCCCGTAATGACCAAATGGTAACCAAGATGATATAATTTTGTTCCAAAAATTACATTTATAAGATTATCTAGATGTTATACAAAAGTCATGGTACCTCAAGTGTTAGGCCGTTAATAATTACCTTTTGCAATAATCAAGTCTTACCTTAACGTCTGTAGAGGACGATTGAACGTTATTCTTAAACTAGGTCGTAAGCTATAACTCGTTCCCGAGGGAGCCCGCTGGGGAATCGGCTGGATTTAAGCGAAGCGAACCTTATGAAACAAAGCCGTGATAACGTTTAAACGACTTACGAAACTATATTGTGCGCTTTTCCTGCAGACTTCTGTTATAAATAACAAGTGAACTCGCAGGTACGGACCGGAGATACAACTAATTATTTATAGTTTACAAGTTTTCATACGAACAAATATTTTTGCCACTTAACGAAGTGTCCAGAAATATTTTAATTTAGTAGGAAATGCCTTTTCGCAAAAAATGTCTATACAGTGATTTTGGTCTCAGAAAAGCACGGCAAGTAACATGTCCTGTATTGCGTATAGACGGCATTTTAATTACAAATCCAACAAATCATGATAATATCAAACATATGCCTTTGTATTTCTATCGTAAAGTAACAAAACTATAACTGTATTGCTAGAAGTAGAAGCACTAAAAACTACATACCTAAAACAAAGTTTCACTACAATAAACAAGAAAGTGGACCGCCAACAGCCGGGCAATTACCCCTACTTAACATCAGTGAAGTGGCGCAGGCTCTACGGGCTAACTTCGCAGGCTCGATGCATTTTTGGATGTCCGCCCAATACTTGTTGCAGTGTAGAGGGGAGCGACTTGTTGCTTCGCCGGGCCTACGCTGGCTTCACGTATTTTTGCCCTGGGAAATACATAATGAATGCGCTTGCCGTTTAGTTCCCGCATTGTCGTTCCCAGAGAACGGAATCGCCTTTGTCGACCTAATGGGGGTTTCATTTTTAAAGAGCCTCTTTCCCTCGCGTTACATTTGCCTTTCATAGTTGGAAGCGTTTGCCTTGTAATTATTAAATGCCTGTTTTGGAGCACTTTTGCTGCCAGTTAGGATTTGTTGAAAAGTTACCGAATGGCATGAAATAAGAAGTAAAAATAAAAAATAAATGGGAGTCATGAAATAAAGACAATTTAGTTAGAAGTTAAAGGTATTTATAGAGGTGACAAAAACTGTAACCATAGGCGAAGGGTACATCCCCGTTCTTTATTAAAATGTAAGACATGACGAATAAAATTGCAAAACTACTACCTTCCAATTTATTTATCTGAGAATTTGTTGTCGTAGGGTGCCTCCTCGAGCTTGGTGGTGAAGTTCGCGGACACTGAAAAAGAGCGTCAGCTTCGTCGCATGCAGCAGATGGCTGGCAACATGAGCCTGCTCAATCCTTTCGTCTTCAACCAGTTCGGCGCGTACGGCACCTACGCGCAAGTCATCACTGAGCAGGTATCACTCACACTACTTTTTCATCCGTTTTAAGTGACCGCTAACCATAGATATCTGCATTTTCAGATGCGTTGCCTTCCTTTAATCGATAGAGGAAGAACGCACAGAAACTTTATATTTCCCCTTCTTTTTCATCAAAATGGTGCGCGCTCATCAGACGAAACGCGGAATTCCTTCCACTTCACGGCTGTTTTCTATGTGGTCATGATATTATACCACTTATGCAAAAGATGTTATTGCGAGCTCTAACGTTGCCAAATAGTGATGATTTCGTATTATCATGAACATCATAGTTAAGCTTAATAATGTAAAAAGTGCATTATTCTGGCCGTCAAAATAAAAAATACGAGTATGGTTCTATGCTTTTAGGAACATGTCTTGTGTTAACATTCCTTCCAAACCAATATTCTTCCTAACCCTATATTGCAAAAGACCCAAGTGGTCGTGAACTAATATTTATTGTTGTATAAAGTTTGAAATCCCACAGCAACAAGCAGCGCTGATGGTGGCGGCGACGGCGCAAGGCTACCTCAGCCCCATGAGCCTCGCCTCGCACGCGCTCAACGGCATGCCAAACTCGGTCGTGCCTCCCGCCTCCGGTATCAGCACTGTTTATACATTTATATGAAGAGTATCAACACATCTGGTCAGATTACGCTGTTAATGATGATGAAGCAATAAAAAACTATTCCTCTACAGTATTTATATTCTTGGAATAAGAAGTCATAGAGTTACAGTTAGTTAAATATCAAAATTGATATTTAAGTACTTCTTTAATATACCCTTAATAGTAGGTATTTGGTAGTTTATGGGAATTTTCATGTTATTATTTTTATGAATTAAAAAGGCAGTGAACAAAGTTGTTCGACAACAAGTCTGGGACGAGACAATCAAGTCGGCTCTTGAAACCTTTAGATCTTTTACTAAGTAATTAAAGAAATATTTGCCAAAAGAAAAGGTTTCTTACTTAATTTTACTTCAAACAATATTTTGTACTTTTACGTCGACTTAATCATTAAAATTGCTTTTTTTCAAAAAGAAATTTTTAATACTTCAATTAAGGTAGAAAGGGTTAAGACGTAGAACATTTGAAAAGAGAAGCCTTTGTAAATAATCTTTATTTAGTTTTTAACTTCATTCCCCGAGTCTTACTGAGGAACTTTGATTTGACTTCATAAGTTTCTTAATTAGTCAGGTAATAAGAAATTTATCAGCAAAGAGGTTTTTCTCTTTTTTTCAAAGCCGTTAAAACCAACAAACAATGTTAATTATACTGTCCATATTACAGTTGCTAGTAAACCAGTGAAAGTTATTCTTTCTTAAATTATATTTAAATTTAAAATTTAATTACAAATAGTAATTTCACAAATAACTCAAGTTGTTTATTGCAGAGAACTTCTCCGGTCTGGCGATAGGCACAGGCGGCGGGCAGCCGCTGAGCGGCGCCCTGCCGTCTCTGCCCTCGCCCACCATGCCTGGCTTCAGCATGGCTGCGCAGACCAACGGCCAGCCACCACCGCAGGATGCCGTTTACACCAACGGCATCCACCAGACGTTCACTGGACGTAAGTTACTATACCTTTGCAAAATACTCTGCTTGTAAAGAAATACAAAAGGTAAAATAACTTGCTCAATTAAATCCTATCGGTGGTTTTGTAACATGAAAGTAGTTTTTTTTTTTAAGAGAATACAAAGGAACCATGACCTGCTTTGCTTTTGACTTTTTCATGGACGGTATAATGGATGGAAGCTTAAGGCAGCGTTAGTAGGAGTAGCTCTTTCTCAAATTATTTTCTTCGTCTCTGTCGTTTTCTTATTCTTGGAGGTCTCAATCTTTCTTCTTAACTGACAAACTTGGTTTTTTAAATTCTGACTTTCCAACCGCTTAAGTAAGCCCATAGTTTTGGTTCATGACGGTAATGAAACATTCTGTGACCTGAACTATTCCAGCTGTCCCAGTGACGGCACAGGGCCTGGCCAATGGCGAAGCCGCGGCGCTGCAGCACGCCGCTTTCTCCGGCATGCAGCCCTTCCCCGGCGTCGGTGAGTAATGCACGCACAAAACGCTTGCTTTTCTCGTCTGTAGTACTCTTATCTACATTAAAATCTTTAATTACTACCAGTAGGTTGTCTAATCGAAAATCTTGAGAGCTGCCAAGATATCACAAATTACTAAAATATGTCATAACAAGGTAGAACAATAAATTTTCAAAATACAATCCCCCTGCAACAACATTCCAAATTAACCTTTTGATAGATTGCCAAAAAAGTATTCACGATTGAAGCGCAACAAATTATATTGAAAAATTTTGAGCAAATTTTCGCATTACTCGACTTACAAACAAACCGAAACCCTAATTTGACATCTGACAAATTAAACAAAGTATTGCTTTACTCCGATACAAATTGTATCCGCAAAGGTTGTACAAAAATTTTACTTTTCCCAACAACAACCTAATTGTCTCTCATCTCCCCTTCGTGTTCGACTTTATCGACGTCCATTTTATCGCGATATTTATTCTTAGATACGCAAAAACATTGACGATACGATTTGACTTCCAATGATTTCTAAATACATACTTTAAATCAAATTGCTCAGCTCTTGTTCATCGAAATGTTTATTTAAGTTTTATTTTAATTGTTATGATGCAGTAGTTGATAGAGCTTTTAAATGTTATTGAACATTAATCGATCTTCAGTTCAAAAGTTCCTCAAAACTTCCTTACAATGTATAAAAATTAAAGCTTTAAAAGGACTTTTGGTATTTGAAGGACGATTACTTGTAATGTGCATAAAGGATGTTATAAATTGTTCAATGTTAAGATATAACGAAAGTGTAATGCTCTGTTGGTTCATATAGCACGCTACAGAAAGATGTTGAATATCGTGCGCTCACTTCCAGTAGTTGCGTAATCAATGTTTTATTTATCATATTAAACTGTTACATCTTTATTTTATTTGTTGTATTTTATGTACCCATTATATATTATATATATTTTCTTTATCCAATAAATCGGTGAGAGAATAATTGGCATTTAAATATTGAATAAAATATTTTTATCAAACTTTCTTAATCTATACATATTACAGTATGTTTAAACAAAAACTTTTATTTATTTATACCAAAGTCAGTGAATAAAGTCTCAAGTTATAAAAATAATATTATTATATACTTAATATATTTAAATAAGTAGCAAATGCTTTATAATCTGTGTATCTATTATTATTTGTTGCATGTGCGTCGTGCAATATAATAGGTGTTCATTGTGAAATGTGCAAATTGATATTCGACAGCTTACCCAGCGGTTTATGGGCAGTTTCCGCAGCCTATTCCACCTCCGATGTCCACCATAGCACCAGCGCAGAGAGAAGGTAAGTGGAGCCCTGAGACGAAGATTACATTAGCTACCATAACTGCGATGGAGCCATCTTTACTATCACTGAAGGCAATCAGCGGAATCTTTCCAGCAATCATTTGGAATAGTTAATTCTATTTTGTCCCTTTTATTCTTGTTACCACCAAGAATCAATCATTTGTTGTGATTCAAATTTCTGTCCACCTCAATTTTAACATATCTAAATTTTATTACTTAAATTGTGTCTTGATTCATTGGCGTTCCTAAAATATTCTATCTATTAATTGAGGAGCAACAATTTTTACCCATACCTAGTAATGTACTGGTTACAATAGCATAAAGAGTTTTGTCAAAATTTATTTCATTATTCATCTTTTGTTCTTCAATTTAGATATTTCGTAATAATAGTATTTTTTCCTCAATTCAATCTTACTGTTTCAGAGTTAATTATTTCTAGCTTGCATTAAATTCTCTTCTATCTCTCTTTGTTTTTGTTTCATTCTTAATAGAAATAACTTTTCCATCAACAAAGTAATAGTATCTTTCTTCAAGAGCTGTGTTCCTGCAAGACGTCTCTACTTCAATATATGTGTCTGATTGTAACTGTGGAATGTTTGTTGCTATTATTATTGAAATTGTATGTCGTCTTCTGTGTTCAATGTTTCGATGTTCTGTAATCGTAGATTTAGTTCTATAAGATAACATAGCCACCAATGTTTGTGTTCAGAGGCAGATTTGTGAGTTCTTTAAAGATTTTCTTATGTTCCCAGGATGTTCCATCTCAGGGCCTGAGGGCTGCAATCTTTTCATCTACCACCTGCCGCAGGAGTTTGGTGATGCGGAACTGATGCAGATGTTTCTGCCGTTCGGGAACGTAATCAGTAGCAAGGTGTTTATCGATCGTGCCACCAATCAGAGCAAATGCTTCGGTAAGTAATATAATAGAAAGTGCCAATCTTGTATCACTCTTACATCACATGAATCCATCCGATAGCGTGTAAAATATTGTAGTTTTCTTCTATTAGAAATTATTTTTTATCGTCTCTTGTGTATTTTATTGAAGTCAAATACAACTCTTTCGAAGGACTTCATGAATATATTTCCGCTTTCAGGATTCGTATCTTTCGACAACCCAGCATCTGCCCAGGCTGCTATCCAGGCAATGAATGGGTTTCAAATTGGGATGAAACGACTAAAGGTCCAGCTGAAGAGACCCAAGGACGCCAATCGGCCTTACTAACCCAAAACGCCGTCCCTGCGCGCTTATGTCGTGCCCATGGTATGTATCTATTGACAATGGAGTCCATTTGTCCGGTAAAGAGGACCATTTAATTCCTATAAATGATAATGGTACACATAAATGGTACATGTTCTTACGAATGTGGTCTGTTCCAGGCGGCGGCGGCGGCGGCGGCCGGAATGTTCCTCTCGCCAGAGGCGCTCTTGTTCGCGTTCTATCAACAATTCCAAGGAATTTAATACACTTAACATAGTATAGTAAATATCATTACCTACAGTACTAACCTAAACCTATGCAAGCCCACTCGGCTAATATATTAACTTAGTTAAATGTAATTTATCGATCGGCGCGTAGGAATGCTTCATTCTTATCATTATTGATTAATCATTAAATTACTCTATTATATTATTATATATACAATTTATTAACTTTGATTAAATTATTATTATTATAAAATGACACGTTATAAAATTTCGTCATTCGTAATCATACTTCTACTTCTAAGTACTTAACGTTTAAATGAAACTTTTAACATAAATTTATTAAACTAGTTATTTGCTTGAAAAAAGCCAAACTGAATTTATTAAGTAAGTTGAAAATGTAAGAAAAAATGTATTTTAATTATTGTATATTGCATAAATAATTGTAGCGCCGGGGTTTGACGAGCGTCTTTGTCTCTTTCGTTGTTCCGTTCGTAGTGTAGAGGTCGTTGTTGAGGTGGTTGTCTATGGCGCGTCGCTGCGTTCATTCTTAGACGTAGTTAATTGTAGCAAAGATGTGCCCAAGCCCCGGCGTCGCGAGCACTGTTGTCTCCCTAGGCCGTATTAGACCACGATAATATAAGTTTATCATTATCGGAGTATGATATCATATATTTTGTTAAATTTTATTATTTGTGTGACACGTAAGATAAATGCCCGGTCGTACCAACATTACAGACGGATGGTAAACTATCAAATATAGTTTTTACTCTAGCTATAATTTGTATTGATAATTCTTAATTTAATTAAAATAGATTTTGTTCCAAATTTTTTTTAAACTTTCTCTTAAGCATTGGGAAGAGAAAATATAATAAATTATTTTTATTTAATTGTTATCTATCTCTGGTACGACCAGTGAGGCAAAATCTTGCATGTTATAACATTATGATAAAGAAGATATTGTTGACATTATATTAAATGTACTTAATAACGCTGTGTACAAATCAAAGTGCACTTCCATAAAGCCGAATACTTAAGGCCTTCGTTTCAAGAGAACGTATTATGTGTTGTAAATTCCAAATGGGCTGTGATAAGAAAAGAGGTATTATATCAACAAAAAGAATTGTACAGGCCGCTCGTGTTAATCGACGTTTGTTGGATTATGCTTTAATATACCGCTCGCTTTGAAGGATTTTATTTTCCTACAACTATTAGAATAAATTGTGATGCAATATATTGTAACTACACGTCTAATGTATATGTATGTATGGAACAATTTGAAGCATTTCTTTGCGAGTTTACTATCTGTAAATACATAGTAATATATTGTCTATATATAGCACAAGATCAAATGTACAAGTAAATTGCTCAGCATTTTAAAATGTTTGTAAATAATATAATAATCAAATGGTCCATACGCATAAATGTTAAATGCGAAGTCAATTTCTGAGCCCGCGCTATTCAGCTTTAGTTGTGTATTCATGTGTGTCTATACAAATATTAAAATAGTTCGTATTAAGGTGTTAAATACAATAAATGTGAGGTAACGCGCCTGGGAGCCAACAGTGGCGGGTGCGCGAGCGATCATAATACAAAAAAAAAACTAGCGTAATTTCTACAGACAAT